GCACCTGCCTGTAATCCCAGCTATGTGGGAGGCCGAGGCAGGAGAATCACTTGAAACTGGGAGGCAGAGGTTGCAGTAAGCTGAAATTGAGCCACTGCATTCCAGTCTGGGCCACAGAGGAAGATCAGTCTCTAAATAAATAAATAAATAAAATTTAAAAATAAGTAAAATAAAAAGGAGTCTAGTGCCTCCCTTCTCTCTCCCTTGCTTCTTCTCTGGCCATGTGACACACCTGCTCCAACTTTGCCTTCAGTCATGAATGGTAGCTTCCTGAGGTCTCACCAGAAGCAGATGCTGGCACCATGTTTTTCTACAGTCTGCAGAACTATGAGCCAAATAAATCTCTTCTCTTTATAAGATACCCAGTCTCAGGTTTTTGGGTTTTTGTTTGTTTATTTGAGATGGAGTCTCACTCTGTCGCCCAGGCTGGAGTGCAATGACACGATCTCGGCTCACTGCAACCTCTGCCTCCCGGGTTCAAGCAATCCTCATGCCTCAGCCTCCTGAGTAGCTGAGATCACAGGCGCCCGCCACCATGCCTGGCTAATTTTTGTATTTTTAGTAGAGACAGGGTTTCACCGTGTTGGCCAGGCTGGTCTCAAACTCCTGACCTCAGGTGATCCACCCACCTTGGCCTCCCAAAGTCCTGGGGTTACAGGTGTGAACCACCGCACCTGGCAGAATAATTTTTTTTTTTTTTTTTTTGAGATGGAGTCTCATTTTGTCTCACCCAGGCTGGAGTGCAGTAGCAACATCTTGGCTAACTGCAGCCTCAACTTCCCAAGCTCAGGTGATCCTTCCACTCCAGCCTCCTGGGTAGCTGGGACCACTACCATGTGCTGCTATGCCTGGCCAATGTTTTGTATTTTTAGTAGAGACAGGTTTTGCCATCTTGCCCAGGCTGGTCTCGAACTCCAGAGCTCAAGGCATCTGCCCTCCTCGGCCTCCCAAAGTGCTTGGATTAAGGCATGAGCCACCACACCTGCCCTATTAATAATTTTTTGTATTAGCATGTTGCATACCCGTGATCCAGTAAGCCCCCTCTAGGTTCCCTTTGGACACTCTTATGTATGTCCATGGGTATTATATAAGCCTGTTTATTGCAACATTGTTTATAATAGTAAATTGGAAAAAAAACCTAATACCCATCAA